AACACAGCTGAACCCGTTTTTGGTGCACACCCCCTTCTTCAGAGCTTTTAAAAAAATATTTTTGTATAGGTTTTAACTGATTAAAAGGTTTCATTGCATCAGGAAAGGCGCCCGGTGTTTGTTTCTTCTATGTTTCATACAGTGCACGGTATCCCTAGTCTGAAACGGGCAGCCTTTTTTGGATCGCAAAAAGTATCATCCTCTGATCATAAGGAGGGTTCTATTTGGCGCTTGTGTGTGTGTGTGTGTGTGTGTGTGTGTATAAGAAAATTGTTGCTGAAACTCTCATTTGTAATGGGGAAATAATCCTAAATCATAATGATAATAGTAAAGCTAACCATGTTACAATCTAATTGTACTAAATAGTTTACATTTGCCATGCAGGCTATAAATGTCAATTGTCTAGCAATTTCAACTACTACCTCCAGCTTTCAAAAACAAAATGCTTTAACAATTTAGGTAAACCAACCACCAACAATTTTCAGTGATACATTCAGCAATCAATGGTTGGAATCCATTATGTGTTGAACACAATATATACAGTAATAAAGATGTATAATTTATATAACAGTGCAACATAATGCATTTTTAATGGTCAACCAAGCCGATTTAGGGTCTGTTCACACCAGTTGCAGTGCGTTCCGGCCCGATTCTGTCCGGAACGCACTGCCTCGCATTGCGGCCGGCTCACTTTTTAGTGGGGCAGGAGATGGCAGGCCATTGAAGTGAATGGCGCCATAGAGGTCCGGTGCGATCAAAATGCTGCAAGCACTATTTTGATTGCACCGCACTGGACTGGACCGCAGTCACAATGTGCCTTGCGATCCCGTGCGGGTGATCACATTGCGGCCGGAGGGCGCGGCTACAACGCCATTCACTTCAATGGCCCGCCATGCCCCCTCCTGCCCCACTAAAAAGTGAGCCGGCCGCAATGCGAGGCAGTGCGTTCCGGCCAGAATCGGGCCGGAACGCACTGCAACTGCTGTGAACGGGTCCTTAGCAGTAAAAAAAATTAACTAATTAAACTAACAACGAATTAAAATTAACTATCCCCCTTCCTTTCTCATGATTATACTGCGATTGTACTTTCCCATGATGCTGCAAATCTCAAGTTTATCTCAAGGCAGATAAACCATCTGTCAAGTTTTAATTGCTGTCTGTGTCCCCATTCACACTAAGCGATAAATCACGTGATTTTTGCCGCGCGATATCGCGGGAATTCGCCGTCCAATGATATTCAATGGAGCTGTTCTAATGTACAGCTCTATGTCGCCCGTCGCTGTCATTGCACATACTATTTTATCCATATGTAATCAAAGGTGTGATCTTTGATCTGCATGCGGCATTACTTAAACTTTACAAGTTTTATTTTTTTGTTTTTTTTAATGTATTCCTATTTAACACCTGATTTAACATGCAACTAGCCTTAATCAACCCTAATTAACTCCTCCATTCCCTTCTCCCCTTAGCTATTTTTTTTCTGCTGCTATTTTTTTTTTTGTACAATTAATATTTTTTACAATTTTCGTTTGTTTTGTTACTTTTTTTTGTGTGTGTCGCATGACAGGAAACTGTGCAGAACAAAAAAAAAACTGCCTTTTTTAGCATATGCCATGCTTTATACCAGAAACATAATTTGAGTCATTTTAAGCACGATACTTTAATGTATAGTTAATTATTATACAGGATTTATATAGCGTCAACAGTTTGTGCAGCGCTTAACAGTATAAGGAAGACATTACATTTAGAATACGATTCAAGACAAGATGGTAAGGAGGGACCTGGCCGTGAGGTATAATGAAATGTATTGTTTTTAAGAATAGTCAAATTACTTTGTTTTTAAACCCATAACAGAAAAAAATGGATTTTATCATTTTTTTTAGATCCAAAAAAACAAAACAAACATATTTACAGTATCACTTTTTTAAAGAAGTTATTGCCATATAATCGGATCCATAGCAGCAATGCAAAACAATTACCGTACTCTCGTCCATAAGGGGGTTTAAAGCTACAAAATCTGTAGTGGTTAACATGCTAGTTGACTAAATGTTCTGCTGACCCTCTAACTTCAGTATTTCCAAAGGGGTAGGAGTGCCACCACAATCGATTTTGGAGTCCAAAAGTATTAAAAGGCTTTATATTCTATTATTATCATATTAGTATAATGGAGAAAGTGTTGGTGGAATTTTTGTCATACGTGTTATTATTGATACAATTATGCATTACATAGCATAAGGTATTGTGATGCTACAGCACCCTAAAGCTTCATTCACTCCCCTATCTTTAGGTGCGATTAGGGATTCTTTCATCAGGAACTTGCATTTTCCTGCAGCAAAAATCCCTAATCTGTCCTTTTACAAGTGGCAGCTGTCACCCGTTCAAGTTAATATTTGGGTGACAGCTGCTGCATTTGAATGTCTGCACACCGATTACATGCAGTTAGGAATCAATCACTCTCCCTGGATGCACGATCGATGCATCCGGGGAGAGTTATTGCTTTCTAACCCCATGTAATCATATCATATACAATTACATGTAATGTGTCCACGTTTATATGCAGCTGACGCAGGAATCCATAATCACACCTAAAGATAAAGGTATGAATCGGCCTAAGTCAGCGTATTCATGATTTAAAAGAAATTACCATTACTGAGGCTGTAATCATACCATGCAAACAGTATTCATCAGCACTGTGTGAAATATGCATGAGGAGGATGTGCTGGCAGCACAGTCCTAGTTTGCTTCAAATATTTTAGTAGATGTACTGTCTCCTAGTTACCTAGAAGTGTGTTTATTTTTGTTAATTGATAGACATTTCTTTATCACAGTATTACAATTGTGGTTACAAACAATTTAGTAACTCATACCTCCCATGCAGTACACTATTATAATGATTCAAAAGTTTGGTTGAACAGAGTATGAAAAAGTTTGTAAACATGCCCTCTAAGCTTTTTGGATATGAGGGAGGCATTTAATATTTTAAGTCCCTTTTGGACCATAATGGTTCTGATATCCCTGTTTGGTCTTTAAACGTAGATGAATGAGTTCCATAATCACTTTGTATCACATAGCTCTGTGCAGTTATGTGGCTTTAAAGCTTTTTCCCTCAAACCTAAATATTTAACCGGACACTGGGACTACTATACCAACTTTTTTAACTGTTGGAGAAACCAGCAAGTTTGTGTGCTCTTGCAAGCCCACCATTTATGAATGTAGCTGTCTTTTGTGTGTTTACCTGTGTCTGTATTGTTGCACAATTGTTAGCCAGCGTGTCGATCAATATTCAAAGATCTTTGTCTTTTTTTTCTTCTTTTCCGTTATTATCCCCGTCTGACACCTCAAGGTCACTTATTGTGCTGTTGTGTGTTCTATTATTTCTTGCCAGCCTGAGATTGCTTACATGTTAATGCACACCTTTGTTCATCCATTGATGTAGCTGTTTTGTAGACTGCTCAGGCCCTGCTAATTTGCCAATCAATACCAAAATTAAGGTGGCCATACACTGTACAACCATCGCAAGACCTTAGTCTTGCGATGGTTGTAAAGGGATTAAAAAAACGTACGATCTGCCCATCTTGGACGGGCAGATCACACTCTCGATCACCGCAAGCCACGCCCCCTGAGGGGCGGTCTTGCGATGACTGTAATGAGGGGCGGGCTTACGCTGACTGCAAACGGGCAGTGTGCGCGTGCGCACACCGGCCCGTTCGGCAGTTGTCGAACCAGCAGGCCACCAACTCGCCGAGAATCGTACGATTCCCGGCTGGTTTTCAAACATGCTGGTTCGATGGAAGACGTGCGACCGTACAGTAGAAACGGTCGCATGCCTTCCATACACTGCACGATTCTCGTACGATCGCGGGATTTCCCACGATTCTCGTACGAGAATCGTGCAGTGTATGGGCACCTTTTAGTTAGCGTATTTGAAAGGCACATTTAGGTAGCTGAAAAAGCAAGTAAAACCATGACCGCATTTACCTAGGTATGTGACACAATGGCAGCAAAGAAAACAATGAGTAGTTTAAGATACTAATAAACATATTCCACAAGATCACTTGGCAGTATCTAACAATATGCCCCAATATTCCCCCAGGAGTCACTCACTGTAGCCAAAGGTTGTGTTTTCTAATTTTCTACGTGTCCTGACATCACAGCACATCTAGAAACTCTTATTTGCTGTGATGACCACCCTGTGTCTTGTTGCTATTTTCACATTTGCCATAGTGAGAGATTTGAAAGTTAAACCACATCTACCTCAGTCAAACTTTTTTTCTGATGGTTGACCATTGCCCTGCTTTATTCCCACCTTCACAGCTGTCAGTGGGTTTTTTACCTAGAAGATGCTACATGGCCATGTTCCATTCCTCCAGCTCTGGCTTCCTAGCGTTATAAACTCCTAAACGATACAGGCACCAATGAAAATAAGATAATTCCATCCAGGGTGGCCTTCTTGTACATTGACATTGCAATATTGAGGAAAGGAGCCCAATGCTTACTTTGGTTACTGGCGATTGATTGACACTTACTGGTATAATTTTTTTTTTTGGGATGGGAAAAAATTACAACATTATGTAATATTTTTAAATGGTAAGATAACTTGTACTGGATTATACATATGAAAACTCTTTTGTGCTTTAAGGGTGAAATCAGTTTCGTGCAATATTGTAATTCAGTGTGCAGGGCTGGCAAATATTTTGTTTATTACATTTCTCATGGTAAAATTGCCTTAGGGAGCTCAAAGCTTTTTCTGTTTTATCAGGCAAAGCAACATTTTTGAAGGTTGTTTAACATTTCACAGACATAACCTTTATATATGCTTCTCTATATTTAAAATATTTGTCTATGCATATCTGATTTTCATTGGAGTACAAGTTAATAGTCACTATTTTTACACTTTTTTTCTTTATCTTTTAGAGCCATGTGAAGAAAATTCAAATTCTTAGACACGGTAAATGCCAAAGGGAGCTTGGGTTGTATCTCTCTTTCCTTATTCCGTTGTAATGGAACAGCAGAAACAAAAGTTTTGGACAGTAAATTCTGTCTGTCTCCAGCATCGAACAGCTTCCACGATATTGCTGGTTTTGGCCCTACTGTCTCTGGAATTTCATGATGCTTCTCTCATCAACACATTCCATGCTGAGCAAAGAGACTGGACTTTTGGTCATCTGACTGTGCATCGGAGTACAGGGGCAGTGTACTTGGGAGCAGTAAATCGGATATATAAGCTATCAGGAAACTTGACGCTCTTGGTATCACACACTACAGGTCCTGGAGAGGACAACAAATCATGCTACCCCCCTCAAAATGTCCAGCCATGTAGTGAACCACGCACACTAACCAACAATGTAAACAAACTGCTGATTATTGATTATTCAGAGAACCGATTGTTGGCTTGTGGAAGTCTGTACCAAGGTGTATGTAAACTGCTCCGTCTTGATGATCTTTTTATTCTGGTAGAACCATCTCATAAGAAGGAGCACTACCTCTCTAGTGTCAACGAGACCGGAACAATGTATGGTGTGATTGTTCAGACTGAAGGACAGGATGGTAAACTGTTTATTGGAACTGCAGTAGATGGCAAACAAGATTATTTTCCTACGCTTTCAAGTCGGAAGTTACCCAGGGACCCAGAATCTTCTCATATGTTGGATTATGAACTGTACAGTGACTTTGTGTCATCGCTCATAAAGATTCCATCAGATACTCTCGCCTTGGTCTCCCACTTTGATATATTTTATATTTATGGCTTTGAGAGTGGCAACTATGTTTATTTTCTCACTGTGCAACCAGAAACTCCAGAAGGAATATCTAGCAATTCTGCAAATGATTTATTCTACACTTCACGAATTGTAAGGTTATGTAAAAATGACCCAAAATTTCACTCCTATGTTTCTTTACCAATTGGATGTACCAAGAATGGGGCAGAATACAGGCTTTTGCAAGCGGCGTACCTTACCAAACCAGGTGCCACACTAGCCAAGTCTCTGAAAGTTTCGGTTCAGGACGATGTACTTTTTGCTATATTCTCAAAAGGCCAAAAGCAGTATCACAATCCACCTGATGACTCCACTCTCTGCATTTTTCCAATCAAGACTATTAATGCACTTATTAAAGAAAGACTACAGTCCTGTTATCAAGGGGAAGGAAATCTGGAGCTAAACTGGCTTCTAGGCAAAGATGTGCAGTGTACAAAAGCTGTAAGTATTTTCTTCTTCCTTTTTTTTTTACAAAGGTTTTAACTAATTTTGTGTCATATTTTATTGTTTTGCAATATCTACAAGATAGTAGTAGATAATGGCAGTTTACTCCAGCTGGCCATACAAGGGGGGGTATATTATATTTGGGAAACAACTGAGTAGATTTTTTAATGAGCCATGTTCCACAGAGATGTGATTCTGTAATCAGAAGTAAAATGTAATCTCTGTTAAATCTACTATGTTAATGGGGAAAAACAGATTATCCGGCAACATTTAAAAACATTTTTTTGATGATTAAATAATTTGCTATGTATGATGAGTATCTTGCCCACTGATTATTACCTCAGCCCGGACTGTACTCTTTGGCCTTTAGAAATACCAGTTAAAGTGTATCTAAAGCCACTCCTTTTGCATAGTATAGTGAGGGTCTAGAATCCCTGTCACATTTCCATTGCTGTCTGAATACCCACTGAGAAGATTCACCTAGAGCTGCAGCTAACGATTTATTTTCAAAATCGATTAGTTAGCCGATAATTAAGTTCGTTTTAATCGGATAAAAAATAAAATAAAATTAATTTTAAAAAATGGCTCCAGTGATGGGTCCTCTATGGGTGATGGTACGTTGTGCTGTATAAAATATTGTTGTAATTCAGCCAGATTGGAAGGTTTTCGAGCATGAACCGCCTTTTTAAGGTCATGCCACAGCATCTCAATAGGATTCAGGTCAGGACTTTGACTAGGCCACTTCAAAGTCTTAGAAGCTCTTATTTTTGTGTCTATTGGTCCTATTACAACACCTAATGCTTGAAACGAAAAAAAAAAAAAATGAAAATTATACCTAATTTAAATTGTAAAATGACAAAATGAAAACCTCACATAAAACAGGGCCCTGCATTATATGTATTATATACTGTATATACTGTATATATCTGCACAAATGAATACACATAGCAGTGATAAACAGGGGCAGTGACACAATTTGTGAAACAGATTTATAACAAGGTTATAGCATGAGTCATAAATTCTTTCCTCAGCTGCTCTAAAGTATCACTGCCACAGAATAAAACCTGACCCCGACCACTTCTTAATTGTGTGACTATTTAGAGTGGAAATTGGTTGCATCTTCAGTAATAAATCTGTCTCAGATCTTTGCAAACTGTTTCACTTTGCTGCCCAAGAATACAGAAGCACAAGTCTGTAAGCCTGATTTGCGACTATGTTGCTGTTTTACTTGATAAACACACATAGATAAACACATTGCAGCTCAACATACAATCAATATGATTATCTTTAAAAATGCAATAATATTTTTAATGTATACCATTGGGGGGAACAGACTAAAACAAACACACAAAAAAGAGTCAAGGGAAGTTTACTATAAAAAAAAACAGCTGAAGTTTGAAGCATAATTTATTTCCGGTGTATGATATGCTTTTAATTGGTTTATCCATCTATGCTCCTTCTGCATCAAAATGTTATGCCCATCCCCTCCTCTTGTATGGACATGAACTCTATCCAACATAGTAAATTTTAGAACTAAATACTGTCCAATATGTTGTAAAACAAAATGCCTCGCAACTGGTGAATCCATGTCATACTGTAAGAACTAATATCATAAACATGGTCAAAGAGATTTTAATGGCTTTTTCCCACAATATAAAATATCCTGTGGGGAGATTAGTAAATACTCTTTGCCCAAGCTTCACAATTTGCAAAATATTTAGGTGTACACATTTGTCCTGTGGGCAACAGAACCTCTTTGCCCCCTGTTAATGCTCGAAAATTACATTTTTGGCATGGATATGTTGCTAAATATTTGCCACACTGCTTTCTATTCTCTGGATCATATTCTGTACTGGCAGGAAAATCCCTCAAATTTGTTTTTCTTGTATGTAATCTTAGAAGTGTCCTCAACGAGATACAGGATCATCATCCATAAAAGATGTCAATATTTCTTTAAAATATCTCTATCTTTCATTGTTGACTCAACAAGGTAATAAATCTGACATCCTGTTTGTCTTTCTTCCCTGCCTTCTTTGCTTTCATTTATATACATTGTTTTGTTGTTACCTTCAGGGAATACTTGTATTACTCCTAGATTACTTTTAGATGTGTAATTATGCTACTGTTGTGGTAATTCATTGGAGAAGCAAGTACCACAGGCTAGAATTGTTTTTCTTTTGTAGCAACCCTGTCTAGCTTTGGTGCTGGAAACACTGCCTATATTTGTTTAAGGTTGGAAATGCAATACAGCTGATTGTAACTGTCTTGGAACCTGTACAGCTATGTGGAACCCTTTCCCCTTTGAGACAGTGAAAGCAAGACTGCTATCATGGATTTATTCAAGATATTGTTCATCCACCGTGTTCCCAGCCAGCTGTTAAAACCAGATTTCTCAGAGTTCATGGCTTCTGCTATCAACACAGCTGGTCAAGCCCTGGTGAAGGGTGACTGTATAAACCCCTGAAACATGGGCTGAGTTTGCGGGCCAGCTAGCCCTGGTCATATTGGCAGTCGTATGAAATCTACACCACTTGTAAATTGCTTTCTTTACAGTAGATGATTGATTTTCAATTATTTAGCAATCTTTTTTAATCCCTTGCCGGACTCTTAGGCATCAACAACCTTCTTTCTAAGGGTTCTAAAGAGCTCTTTTGGTGTTAGCATGATGAGACGCACGTCAATAGGAAAAAAAGAACACCAGACACTAGATATCTGAGTTTTGGAAAGGTCTGGTTGCACTTTCATACCTTCCAAGGGAAGGTTGTAATTATTGCACCTGATTTGTAACACCTGATTTCTAATTTCATGGATTTGAAGTGGTGGTGAATATGCCTTGGTACTTCATTTTTCCATGTGACAAATCCTGCATTTTTGTTAATTTAGATTATAGGAATGAATATAGCATGTTAGCCATTGTATGTGTCATTTGCTCAGGTATATCGCCTTTGTACCTCTATAGGCACTGTTTAAATAAAGATCTATCTTTGCCAAACATGTTAGATGCAAATACCACAGAGGCTGAAACGGAGTTGAAAAATTATCCACAAAAAGTCCCCTTAGGTATGAGGACTGTACCTTCTTAATTCCAAAAATATTACACTAATTAGGTAATTACAAAAAATAACACAAGTGACTTTAGTTTATGGTATTATATTACTGAGAATATAAGATGCTGTAAAATTATAAAGAAAGTAAGAGCCTTAGGCCCTGTAGTATAAAAATATGTTTACAATTTTTTTATGTCACATGATATTTCCACAACTGTTTGTAAAATCTATGTTTTCAGTAAGACATATGTTAAAATACATTTTAGTGCACACGAACACATTTATAATCCACATTTTTTGTAGAAAATAAGTAGGGATGTACCGATACCGAGTATTTGGGCAAATACTCGTACTCTTCCAAATGCTCAAATGTGTAGCCTGATACCCGAACTTCCGGTATCAGTAAGCAGGGCAGAGAGTCATTACACACTGTCCGGCTTCCTGATTGGCCAGATAGCTGACTCCATTCCTCCTCGCCACCTGTCAACAAGGAAGCATGGAGACGGCTTCCCTGCTGATCAAGAAGCCGGGTGGCGAGCCTTTGCACGCCGCCCGGCTTCCTGGCTAATCAGGAAGCCGGGTGGCGAGTCATTACATGCCGCCCTTACGGGTCTTCCAGCGAAAACAAAATTGGTACTTGATACCGAAAAACAGGTATCGGGGCATCCCTAAAAATAAGGTGAGGTTATGCGAGTAAATGCCATATGTGCCAAGCTTCAAAATGCGTGCCTGCGAAACGGGGACAAATTGTTGTACCCAAAAATATAAATGGACAACACGCTTACAGCTCAGTTTAGTTTAACGTTTAGTGTAGAGTTAATCATGAATCAGGGGCCTAAAATTCTCTCACTCTGGCATGCTTAGCAATACCCAATATGTGTTGCACAATCATTATTTACATGACCACCCTGTTAAGATCAGAGCTTTGTGCAAAAGGGGACGTGCGGTCCCCTGCTGCGGACGTGACGTGTGGTCAGGGGAAGCAGGTGAGGCAAAGCCTCACCTAGTATTATGGAGGAAAAAGAGGTCAGCTTCAAGTGTGAAGCTGACAGCTTTTTCTCCATTCAGACCATTTTGTAACAGGTTACAGAGCGGGGAAAGCCTCTCCGCTGTGTGACCTGTCATGGATGGAGCGCTGCCTGTTAATTACCGGCGTCACTGCATCCGGCTTTTGACAGCTAAGTTAAGTTACACAGCAGCGGGCTTCCCCATTGGTCCAAGCTGTCCAATAAAAAAAAATACTGAGGACATTGATTTTGATGCCTCACCAGTGACGAGCAAGTGAGGGACAGGCAGGGCCGGATTTACTCCACCTGCCGCCCCAAGGCCAGGTTCCACAATACGAGCCGCCCGTCGGCGCTCTGCCGCCCCGAGGCCGGGCCTCGGTGGCCTTGTGGGAAATCCGGGCCTGGGGACAGGGAGGCTCCTCCCTTCTCCTCCACACAGCTTGGTGACCGCGTTGGAGGCGGGGCGTGCAGGGGGAAATGTCTCACCTAGCGTGGACTCCACCGCACATCACTGCTGTGCAGTCTATATGATATGTGTTTTGGGTCATTGTCATGCTGTGGAATGATATTGGGACCATTTAGACACATCCGTTATGGTACTGTTTGATGGATAAAAATCTGGCTGTAGTTTTCAGTAGTAAGGTTGCCATTAATTTGGACATAATCTTTAAACCCTTTTGCAGGAAAACATTCCCAAATCTGCAGGGAACCACCATGGTCTTCTCTGTTGCCTGGGTGCATGTATCCATGTGCATTTCTCCATGTGACTTGAATGCAAGTTTCTGTTTTGTATGATATCGTGCAGCTAAATCCGATAAATAAGATAAATCACCTAGGTGTAAACCTAGCCTTAGGGAATTAGATGTTCTGCTTTTTTGCCTTTTCACTTTTAAAACCTCATACAGATATATCTATATATCTATATAAGTTTTTATTCTTGGAG